TTTGAGGTCCTCAACAACTACAATGGTTTAAATGACCGTATTAATGATGTCTTCGATGAACTTTTAATTTGTTTGCATTTAACAGAAGGAAACCAACTCGGTTATATTGTTGTGAAAATTGTGTATTTATCTACATTTAACCAGATGCCTAGAACCGCATACAGTTTTTTTCGGTCAAAAATGGTTAGTTGTCAAGTCAAAACGATCGTTTAAATTGTATTACTTTACATGGATTTAGTATTTTTTAAAGCAAAGAAAAAGTTGCACGATTCTGAAATACCACTTTCGTCTCCCTTCTGTTTAATGCATTCCAATTCATATCAGTCCTAATCGTGAATAGTGTTATATTTACCATTTCCGAAGTAAAATTATTACTGCATTATTACTGTTTTGCAAATGTTAAGAGTACTCCAGCATTTACGAAGAAATGGGTTGTACTTTTGGAAGAAATTCAGAAAAACTGAAGCTTCATGAGAAAATTATCAATTTACTAACGGCAACTGGAACAAAATTACGACACTGCATTAAAGTGATTTCAGATGGACGCCCCACCCCCGCCCCTTTTCTTATATTTACAATCCTGACTACGGTCTCGTCGGGCTGAATCACTCATCGTGATTACACAAGTCAAATATTTCTCTCTGAGGAAGCTGCGATGAAGGATAGCGGAACTCACAGTGTAGTACATTGATAAAATAGGAATATTAGGAGCATTTGTGACCCAAAAAGCCTCTGGCTAGCCTCAAACTGCCCTACAAACTTCCAACTTTCTGATCCTTTGCATGATGCGCCTATAATTTATTCCGATACAAACTCCGTTTTGAGCCAATACAGCGTATCTCGCCCGGAAATCGGGAAATTCAGGTGACCCCGTGTTTAGTATTCAGTACACGCTGCGAGGCTTGGGAAATATCAATTCTACGTTGACACATTGCTCTGAAATCTATGAAATTATTGAGGGGGAAATAATCAATGGAAAAGACTGGTCCATCTATTATCTCATCCATCCACGGATTCGGAAAAAATGAAGAGACGGAGTAGGAAAGAAAAAAAATTGATATGAGATGAGGGCAAACCGTTTTCTCCTCTCATTATACTCCGTTTCGCACACAGAAAAAAGAATGCTACTGGGTAATGAACTGTCTCCTTATTTGTTTGTCACAGGCTAAGATTAATTTTAGAAACATAGATATTCGCTTCAGCAAACACCATGTTGCTTAAGTTTATAGAAATTTGCTTGATGTCAACACGATAGGACTCAACAGTGTCTATTTATGATTTCGCTAAGATCCAGCATTCTTACAATTAAAATCCCTCGACTGAAAATGGAATCAGACCTCGAAAAATCAAGGAATAAAAAGGGAATAATTAACATTCAATATTGTATGCCAATTGAGTTTGCTATCTAAATATTTTACTACTGTTTTACAGTGTGATGTTTTACAGTGTGAATGTACAACTCTGTCAGCACCAGGTCAGTTTCCTACTGGCTCCTGGTTGCCACAACATCTCGCTCAAAATCCGCTTATTTCGCTTGCAAGTCAGATTATAAGTCTTGAAGCAACACTAAACGCACACTAAGGCAAACAGTGAGTTGTCGTAAGAGCTTTTAGCACAAGGAAATCTCGTAGATTGACGAATTCTACTTGTCGTAAAAACGCACCTAACTTCGTAAACTGTCACTATCGACCATCTGTCCGCGACATAGACTCTAATCCGGGCTGTGGGGTGGAATCTACTCAAAATCCAGATCATATCATCTGACTCACCTCTCTAGGCATGAGCATTAAGCCCTAACTGTTTTTCTGTGGATCGCACCGTGTGAAAGTTCGAACTTATAATATCGGCAAATGCAGTGGACTTGAAGCAAAGATGAAACAGAATCATTGTTCTTCATATGCTCTGAGTGAAAATTAGGTGGGACCTGCAGTCTACTATGAGCATTTTTCCCTCCAAAAATCTGTACTCGGTAAAAATCTACGTCCAAGAAATCGATGTGATCTGCATGACAGAAAGATCATCGCAACGTAGATTTGAAGTCAGGTAGAAACGCTTATGAAGTCAGCACAAGTTTCATAAGTAAAAAATAATCATGTATAGGACTCACTTGCACTTTTTATTTTATTGCTATTGAACGCGTTTTGAGGGCTCTGCCCTCATCCTCAACGATAACATGCGACTGTGGATGAGGGCTCTGCCCTCGAAACGCGTTCAATATCAATAAAATATACATTATTATTTTTAATACACTGAATTTGTGTACCTACGGATATTTGGAAGTCTCCAAAAACAAACTTTGGGACCGTTCACTCATACTTTCATTGAAGCGTAGCCTTCAGCTTGAACGCTTCGTTCCGGTTCGTATTGTTGGATTTTTCCACCAAACGTGGCCAATACGGACAAAGCATCATGTTTTGCATTCAGCACGTATGCAGGGGCTGAGCGCGCAAACATCCGGGACCTTAAACCCTGTCATCGCTTCGATCCCATTACTTTTTCGACAGCCAGTTTTTTGCCCTACCCGCGAGAGCAGACGAAAAATCCAAGACCGAATAATGAACAACAACCTCGTATCTAAACCGAGCTTCTCCTGGCGTTACGTGGTTCTTGCCAAGTCTGGCAGAAGGCAGCGAAGTGCAATGGAGGGGCAGGGGCGGGGAGTTGCAGAACGAACATGTTTTAGTCGCAACTCTCGGGTGTTACACTGTTACACAGGCCCCCCGGGGCAGCCAAGATCGAACTTTTAAGACAGCGCTTCCCCGAAAGTTCAAACCTCCCACTTAGTTCCGAAGATACAAACGTGTAAGGACTTGGTGACGCACGAAGCGTTCTTAATCTCTGGTGACGCAAAGTCATTTCAGCTGGAAGAGAGCGAGAGGCTTCGGAAATTCTAGTCTCCCGAGTCGATAGACTCAGGTCCAGAGACAGGATATTTCAGACACCAAGCACTGCTCTGCCGTGATAGCGAAGAGAGCAGTAAGTTAGTGTCAAATTTTCGAAATCGATTTTCTCTCAGAATTCGTCTGATCTCTTCTAGATGAAATCACCGAAATAGCTAGAACAGCCAAATTCAGGTTAATTGTATAAATACAAGACTTACGAGAAAGCCTTAAGTGGGCAAAAAATTACGTAGTTTCAGGCAAGACAGCAGCAAGTGACATTATTCCTACAGAGAGCCGATGAAAACAGTGCTGCAAAGTAAAGTGCCACCCTCTTCTGCCAATTTATAACCTGAAAATGTGTTTGTTGTGTGTCCAAACGCAACCACGAGAGCATGCGGAAGCTAGCACTTACGGCTGTCTTGCCTGGCAATAGTCTAGCATGAAAATGAAAAATACTCTTTTCATAAAATTGAAATAAAATCAGTCGATTTTCAACTATCCAAACGATTCTTAGGAGTCTTTTGGACGATGAGTGGCAATTTGACAAAGAACGGAGGCTTCTTCCAATTAAATTATTCTGTCAGACGCTTCTGAACCCGTTTTCTCAATAAGACTTCATCATTTTTGCACTTACTGCTCTCTTCGCCATCACAGCAGCACAGGGGAGGACGGACTCTGTTGCCCTGTTGCCGAAAGGATATTTGATCGGAATAAACAATGGGCCTGTTGCATGCAAGAGATACAGCCGTGCGAATAGACTTTTCAGCGGTTAGATGACAAGAAAATTACGATGGTCACATAAAAAAGTCTGAAATACACTCCTTACTGCGCAATTTGCGGTGTTAGGAACGTGCTTTTTCAAATTTCCCGCGTCTGGGGGCAGTTTTCTAACGGAAACAATTAACGGCAACTCGCGGCTATTTCCGGTCAACTAAAACTGACAGCATAACCTAAAAATCGGAGCTCGTGATATCGTGAAATGAAATGTAGAAGGATTGCGTTGGATATTTAAAAGTTGATCGATTTGGTTACCGCATAAAGCGTATATGACCCACTATAAGAGATCACGTTGGGTTTGTAAACAAACTGAAGGAAAAAATAACAACAACAACAACAATGACTCGGCACCTTCCGGAAATCACCGAGCCCGCTGTTTGCTCGTTTCCGGTGATTAGAAAACTGCCCCCAGACGCGGGAAATTTGAAAAAGCGCGTTCCTAACAACGCAAATTGCGCAGTAAGGAGTGTATTTCAGACTTTTTTAATGTGACCAATGTAATTTTCGGGTCATTTAACCTCTAAAAAGTCTATTCGCGCGACTGTGTCTCTTGCATGCAACAGGCCCATTCTTGAGAAAATGGACTTTGAGTAACGTCTGAGTGGGGAATAGTACCTTCCCCTCCGTTAATTGCGACAGCCTCAAATCGTGGTTTTTTATCTTTTTTTTTTTTTTTTTTTTTTTTTTTTTTTTTTTTTACTTATTTAATATGAGTATATCTCCTGTACATCCTTTCGACGATTAAAATCATCGGACGCGCCATGATCCTCATGCATAAATGCCGAATTTAATGCAGGGATGCAGAATCTTTCAAAGCTTCCACATTTTCACGCGCCCGCCAGCGGGCTTTCCACATTTTTCATCATCAGTTTTCCACAAAATTTCCCACCAACACTGGAAAAATAACACATTGGGTCTAGAGTTCAGACTCTTAAAAACAAAGACACGAAAAAATACTCTTGATTCAATCGGATTTTTACTTAAATCAAGAACTATGCCTCTTAATTTGAGCGGATTTCCTTTTGATTTAATCAAAAATCCGATTGATTCAAGAGTATTTTTTCTTGTTGATGTTTTTAAGAGTCTAGACTCTAGATCCAATGTGTTTTTTCCAGTGAATTCAAATAAAGGTGACCTTTTCGACTGATGTTCTTTCAAAATTTTCTCTCCTTCCACGTTTTTGGGGACTCTTCCACATGCTCGGGCATTTTCTGCACCCCTGATTTAATGTTGAAATCTTACAGATTGTAATCTCTTTGAGTTTCCTCACAGGAAAATGAGTGGAAAACTGCTGGTACGAAGCTGGATCTCATATGAGGTTTTGGTTTTTTTCTGTTTCAGAGCTCTGGAGTGGTGGAAATTACGCAAAGCAAGGTTGACAGTGAGGTGTTGTTGACTGATCGGGAGCTTACGATAGAGGAAACGGATTTCCTCTAATGTTAACAGTGCCACCCTGGTCTTCAAGGACCGGTCTAGCCTTGCGATGGCTGTGAGATCTGCGCCGTGAAAACTAAGGCAGTTGACACCTTCAGCAGGGACCTCGACTTCATATTTGCAACCTCGAGTATCTTTTTCGTGCCGTCAGCGAAAATACTGATCAATCGCTCGGCTTTAAATCTATTGGGATCCAGCGAATAGGTAACATTGTATTTTTTCCATTTAAACCTATGGAAATGTATCGATTCTTGGAGGGGCCAGGTGCTCTGACATAATTGATTATTTAGTATAGGTTTAAATGAAGGAAATCCGGTGTTGCCAAATTGCTGAATATATCCAAAACCAGCCTAACTGCGTTTCCTAACCCTTTGTGGTGATTTCATTAAACAGGAAAAAAGTAAGCAGCGTTTTGTTCAACATTTTGTGGGAATTTCCCTCTTAATGTAAGGGAAGTCACATATCGTTTCAGAGCACTACCTCTTGGGTTTTAAAAATTAAACATGAGAGAAAATCAGGTGACGTGAATCACAGTTAGGCATACTTTGCCTAAAATCGTTCAATTGAATCTTTTAATACACGTGAGGCTTGAAACCGAAATTAGTTTTCTGTTTTATTTTGAAGATGGCATGCACCAAAAGCAAAATTTGATATTTAATGGCTGTTCTCGGTAATGATCAGTATGGCTGAATGAATCGCATTTTGTAGTATTTAGTCCATCAAGCTTAACCAACGGTTAATTTCTCCATAATCATGCCTAGCGCAAAACTCAAACAGGCTCACAGCTGAAATATATCATCCTTATTTTGGCATAGAAATTGCAAACTTGCATGATATGCAATTATGAGAAGAAAGGACGTCGCGTTGTAGCCATCACTAAAGAGTATAGTAGAGTATATTATGAGTATTCATCTGCTCTGCATTCAGCACCATTATTGGTGTTCCAAGCACAAAAATGGTTGAGTATTTGGTCGAGAGCAATTTGATTTAAAATAGTGTCAAATTATAATATTTTCATGACGATTCGCATACATACGGAACGATTCACATTATAAAGCATTGAAAACCTTGATAGAACAATGGTTCAACAAGAAGCTGTGAAAGTGCTCAACTCGCTTCGGCCCTTTCTTTACAAGAGGAAAACTCTTGAGTTCTTACAAATGCGTTCATACAAATTTTGAATTTTCTGTTCAAAAATGTCAAAATGACTTTGACTTTAAAGGGTTCATTCAATGCTGCAAATAGAGCAAGATATTTGGAAAAACAGGCAAGAATTCTCGACATTAATTTTTTTAAAATTCTTGTTTCCACTTCCGTTCTCTCATTCAAATATTTTGAGCATTGCAGGTTCTACAGATTTGTTTATGACCAGACCCAATTATGGGTCTTGAAGAAGATTTTTAAGAAATAAAATTTCATTTTTTTTTTTTTTTTTTTAAAAAAAAAGGAAAATCAACTTTTTATGAGGATTAGCCAGCCCTGGCACGAGTTCAAATCTCACGTCATTGGCGCAAATATGAGAGTCAAAAAACATTATGACCGTGATCATCATGATCGAGATCTACTACCAGTGATCGTTGTTGTATACCTACGTTACGTGATTGTTCAAGTTTACTATTCAATCTCCGCACGAGAGAGCACTTAACGAAACTTCGAAAATTAGTTTTAAAAAATTGTAAACTCGATGCTCAAATTTGGAATTGACGTATTAAAAATTGTGTTTTTATTTACCCAGGTGTCTTTTTCATTCACGACCTACCCTAAATACTACCCAATTGAAACTCAATATTTACACGTTCAAGGTTCGATATTTTCTAATTACAATGCACATTGTACCTCTATGCTCATTACTGGCATAAACTTGAGTTAAATTGCTCGCAACTTATTTACTCTGGCACTACGAAGTTTCCGTCAGAGGCTGAAAATCCGATTTTTCGTTTAAACCCGACAAAAATTGTTCCATTAAATGTTTTCAGAGAACTTGGAAACTGGAAGAAAGCCTCTTGGGTCTAGAGTCCAGACTCAAAAAAATTGACAAGAAAGAATACTTATGGTTCAATCGGATTTTTCCTTGAATGAAAAGGAGGTCCGCCTGAATTAAGAGTGATGGATCTCGATTCAAGCGAAAATCCGACTGAATCAAGAGCATTTTTCAAGTCAGATTTTTGCTTGTATCGATATTCATTACTAAATCAAGAGTATTTTTTCATGTTAGATTTTTGGTTGTATCGATATTCAATACTCTTAATTTAAGCGGACCTCCTTTTCATTTAAGCAAAAATCCGACTAAATCAAGAATTCAAGAGTGGCCTCTCTTGTCAATTTTTTTAAGAGTTTGGACTCTAGACCCAAGGAGTTTTCTTCTAGTTGCCAAGTTCTCTGAAAACATTTAATGGAGCAATTTACAATCGAGCAATTTATCGATACAAACAAAAATCCGACTGAATCAAGAGTATTTTTTGATGTCGGATTTTTAAGAGGATGCTTGATTGGATTCTCCCAGGGAGAATACGGAGGGGACGCCCAGTGAAATGGTAGCAACAGGGCGTTTTAGAGAAAATGAGGGAGTGCCAACTCCCTGAAGGGCTTTGGAAGGATAGGGGACTGTGCCGGCTGGGTGTCGCAGAGCGCCAAAGAGCGCTATCAAAGCGGCTTATATGTATGTGTATTTTTTAAGAGTCTGGACTTCAGATCCAAGAGACTTTATACTTCGATACCACCGTGTTTCTCGCAAAATTCGATGTGGAAATCGTCGGTCGGAACTCAAATCCCCTCCGCTCGGCGGAACTCCGGTGTGGCTCACTCTCCGGAGGAAATGAATGCAAAATAAACGTGACAGCCGGCGAACACAATGTCATCACAGCTGAAATAAATCAGACGTGGGAAAAATTGGAAAAAGTCGTGTACCGCGAATGTGGGTTGGAGAACGCGGTGAGATAGGGTCGCGGCGCACACTGATCCAAGTCAACATGAGAATTCGGACAAAATCTGGAAACTTTGAAAGCTCATATTTTCAAAAAATGAAACAAGAAAGTTCAAGAGTGGGTTTATTGGATTCTCCGTGAAAAGTCCTTTCATAGATACCCCTTAAAATTGAGTTGGTAACGATATAAACATCAAATCATGCAATTTTAGTCAACAAATGGAGATGTTGCATGTGTGAGGAATTTGCTATTTGACTGTTGATTCCTATGTAAAAGTTCGCGAGAAACACGATGGTGCCACTGGTTTTCTCTGAAATCAACTCCCAAGCTCAAAAAAAGCTCTCAAGTTGAGGCCAAAATGGCCAAAAAGATAGGGAGCAAATACATTGACAGGGCTGCAATTTTATTTGGGGACTCCACAACTGAAAACACGGCAACCCTGCTGATGTATTTGCTCCCTATCTTTGCATGGAGAGTTTGTGTTGATGTAGAGGTGGACTCTCAGGGTAGGGTGGGATATCCCCTCCATTTTGGCCTCGGCTAGAGAGCTTTTTTTGAGCTTGAGTGTTGATTTCAGAGAAAACCAGTGGCACCATCGTGTTTCTCACAAACTTTTACATAAGAATCAACAGCCAAATCGCAAATTTCTCACACATGCAACATCTCCATTCATGCCCGACCTTCCCAGTAGCTTGCTATACTGTGCGACGAGGGTTCGGGGTTCGGGATATTTAATTTACCCCTTTCGTTTTTGCCTTTATCCGCACGCTCTCTTCGTACAGGTCCCGTCAAAAGAGATCCCAGGATCCGCCTGATGTAAACGGATTATTTTTACCGGTAAGTTTGGGTTTCGCTCGCGAGGTGAGAAAGGTTAAGGGACGGGAGCCCGCGTGACTTTAAAATAAACTTTTCAGCCTTTGAGCGCGGCCGCATCAGTGGCGTGGCGTGAATTGCGATTTATCGATTTTTATTACATTTAAACCTATGGTAAACAATCAATTATTAAGATGTTCGCTGCGAACACCCTGTTTATCGATCCTTTTACATAAGTGTAAATGGCATAACAATCGATATATCGCAAAGCACGCCACGCCACTGGGCCGCATGCATCCATTTTTACCACGATCATTTGATAAAGAACCTGCTGCGCCCGTAGAGTCAATTATTAATTCTTTTATAACTGGTATTTTTGACCCCTTTCTTTCTTGCGAATCCCTAAGTCATTATTTTTGAATAAGTAGAATGGGCAAATTGTCATGTTAGGATGTTATCTAACGTCATCGTTCACGTAAAAAGAAACATTCATTCACGTGGGGCAAAAATTGTGATAGAGCAATTTCTTTTTTTTTTTTTTTTTGGTTGAATTGTAAAATTGGATTTCCGCTCTCTAGTGTCCTGAAAAATAGGTTGTGAGTGGTTCTGTTGATATATTTTACGAGCAAATGACGGAAACTTGGAAACTTGCACAATGGTATAACCATTTTCTGCTTTAAACAAGGCACCTTAGAATTTTCAGGAGCTTTACCTCAAAATCATGTTTTTTGGACAGCCTGCAGGCTTCTAACCGCCAAAACATTCGATTGCTTATGTATCTGTGAGTACCCAAAAAACCAATAAACACGTGTTTTTTTTATCAAAAAAGGCTAATGAACATTCCGGTATGCTTCGGTCTCAAAAATTCGTTTTTAAGTTTGTGGACTTAGGATATTCATTAAATTGAACACTATTAAAAAAGTAGGAATTAAACAGATCTTTGGCATCGTTTCATTTTTAAGTCGAGGGAAAATATTTCCTTTTGAGCTTCAGGCATTTTAATGAATGCCTTTGAAAAGGAGAATTGAAATTCAAACATAATTCATACGGCCATTTTGATGGCACATTATGAATATGCTACGTTAAAAGTAATTGTATATCTTCCTCCCGATCCTTTGATCGTTACCTTATTGGAATTGAGCCGTGTAAATTCTTGAGCAGAGAGCGAGGCGGTATTCTCATGTAACTGAAAGGTTGCGTTTAAATGTTGCAGAATTTCTTACAACTGTTACTTCCTAAAGTTACCGCAAGAACATGAATAATTGTCAATACTTCATATTGATGAACCTTGCTTAAGAGTTAGTTAATTTATTTAGAGACGTTCAGCGACTCAGGCTATTAATGTCTTTACAAAGAATATGAAAGATGAGTGCATACATACAAACATGTAGTCGTGTACACTATGCGTGTGTGATGTAAACCTCTGAAATGAAATCTTAGTATCTCAATTGCATTATTTAAATTTTGGCATAGCATAGCCAATACATCCATTGCATTTAGAAAATGGAAAAAATAAATGATGAAAACAAAAATCAAATAGAAAAAATAACGGAAATTTTTTTAAAAAAAATAAATCGGCTGCTTGGAGAGTCGAGAGTCAATTTGACCGAATCAATTAATCTATACGATATTGCAACACGATCGGGCAAGTCAGAAGCGGCATCTTCAGACGGTCGCACACAGAAGCTTCCAAACAAAGCTCGCTGAAAAGGTAAGTTTTCTAAAAATTAGCCTTTTAAGTTTTCTCTCGTCAATTTCAATTTTTTTTAAAAGGGTATAACAGAAGTAACCGTTTTTCACACGACGGGAAGTAAATCAAATGGAGGTGGCTAATTTGATTGAAACACTTCATTTTTAAGAGTACGACGATACCTTTCCGTCCAAAACTTGGTTGATTGTTACCTGTGATTAGAAAAACATTTGTGAAAGTTTCAGTCAGAAATGCCTATAGGTGCCCCAGTAAAATGCCAAATTGCGAGTGCAAATTTCGCGATATTGAAAAGCAGTTACGTTCTTTCATCTGAGAAACGACCCTCTTTCAGTAACCTCACTATTTCAGAAGACGACCACTATACACTCAGCAGACCCTTCCTTGTCGGTAGTAGCGCACCAATTGGGAAAATAATTGAGTAATTAGGGTTGATAAGATAATCTAAAATGGTGGCCGAGAGTTAATTGTTCGTGCCACGGTAAGGAAGGTACCGCAACACTAACAGAGCCCGTGGGGACCTCTAAGAATGATAGGGATTTCATATCACTTACCTAGAACAAAAAGTGATTTTGCGCATTGCAGTTGTGATAATCACTTTTTCCCCTCATTCCCGAGTAATTATTACAAGGCGGTTTACAACCTTTTTATTTGAAGCTCTGCAAAATTACGTAAAGAAATCAACGTTATGGCACGGAGGCACTCCGTGACTCCTGTTTTTCTCACACCGCTGCCTTTCAGCACTAAAATAAACCTGAATTAACCAGAGTTTTTTTGTTGGAATGATTCTAGAACAACGTGGGATTTAGTGTCCGTCGCATATGCATATTACCGAGAACCGACTTATGAACCTTCAGGCGTTGCTAAATTTCCTTTGACAAACTTACGAATTTTCTGGAAACCTTATGAGTATTTCTCTCCCAATTTTTCAGATAATTTTGTTCGCAATTTCGCCTAAAGTTCCGGAAAATTTCATGGAAAAATATTCATAACTTTCCTCAGAAATAAACGTTTTAACAAAGAAAGTTTGGTAACTATCGAATGTTCGTACGGCGTTTTTCCTTAGCATCGGGTCCACTCAACTTGAGGCTCAGAGTGGCGCCAAGATTTAGGTTAAATAGGGGGCGAGAGACTCTCTTCTAATGAGCGGCGCTATTGATATCCCGTAGGCATTAAGCACGACACTCACCACTAACGAGAGTCTAGGGGTTTGATCGAAACCTCTCCACTCCACGGCGACCACCATCGATATCCGGAAGGCATCAACCGAAAGTCGCTGGGTGAAA